TTCTTGCTGCTTTCTTTCCAGTGCGAAATAAGTAAGCATGTACAGGTTGGCAGTTAGTGCTCTTGAATAACTAAAAAATTATAAACTTTAAATAGCTAATAATAATACCTATACCTACCAAATTAAATAAAAATAACTCGATAGCCATATTTTGTACTACAATACAGTATTTGGCTAGACAGTCTATTATTGTTTACCACAGTGAATACCTTCCTTAATCATTCACAAGTAGTTTAAAAAAATAGTTTTAGATGTCTTTAACAGGAAGCAACTGTCTCTGACTCGAAGCCGAACTAATGAGGGTTCAAGATCCATAAATTAAGATAGGTATTTCCAGATCTACTCAACAACCGCGAAATAATAAATCCTTTGCGCTCATAACTTTATTATAGCAAGATAATGTTTATTCGACTTCGTTTCGAAAATTTGGTTTACCCATTTTTGTCATAGGTTTAAGGTACCACGTTTTTAACTTTAGAGGGTCTCAAATTCAATATAAACGAACTTTAGCGGAATTATTTATTTTTTAATATTTTAATTCAGTACCTATATTATACCTATTTAATATTATTTAATAATTTCCAGGATTTTCTTATTAGCCTTCTAACGTGTATTTGATAATGTTCACTGTTCACCCAGTGGTCTGCCCTTGTCTTACTAGCGCCCTCTATTATTGTGACGGATAAATTGGTACCGTCGTACCGAACCATTATTCGGAATGTTGGTTGGTTTCAATGTATACACTACATTATTTAAAATTGTACTGATAGATGAACTCTGAAACAACACTGGATTAATAAAAACTATGTACCTACACAAGAAAGTTATTCGCTTAAAAAAAAGAGTTTGATCAAAGTTAACTACAACTCCACTCAGCAATGGTCCACACCCAGATTGATTCAAATTTTTACTCCCTCGACAAGTCGAATAGAAAGATCAAAAGTAAATATACCTAAAGCATAGAACTAAGTGATTTATCTCAGTTTGGATTTGGACAAATCACAAACGTTTAACTCGTTACGGATAATGTAGTTGCAATAATTGACGATTGATTATAGTGATTTCTAATGAGCTACGAGGTTCTAAGTTGATCTTACTTTTCGCAGAGTTGAAGTGGACGCATGAGGTAAAGGCAGTCGATGGTACATTATTCGCTTGTATTTTCTGTGAAATACATCTGGAAAATAAGCCGTTTGGGTTCGTCAGACTGTCAAGAAGATGCACAAATCCCTGTTGAAAAAAGTATCTGAAGTTACTTTTCAAGATAATGAGACACTATCATTATCTGTTATTTCGTATTTCCAAATATGTAGCACCAGGAAAAACGGATGAAGCTATTGCTGTGTATTTTGTCCACAGGTTTCAGGTTCAGTTTTGACACAACAGTTTCTATAGTTTAAAAATCACAAATTTAAACGTTTGAAATCACACAAAGTTATCACAGCTACAAAATTCACAATCCCTCTGTTAAAGTGAATTCCACATACCTATTTATAATATACCTACAACTCTATTTGCTAGGAATTTTTTTCTATTAAAGGACATGGCACCATTTAAGTGTCACCATTTAAGTGTAATTTGTACCTATGCCAATTTTCCTGAAATTTAAATATGTTGTAGCCCACACCAAAATAAGACTTTTTTATCATTGCGCCAAAGTTCTAAATCTACCGGGTCTGCTCGAAAAGTAAGGCCAAAGTAATAAAAACGGACAAAATTATTATTCTAATTAAGTCAATGTTATATCAAGACAATACTCAACTCAACTTCAAATAAGTATCATAAAATTTTTACATATTATCATTTACTTTATATTTCCATTAGCTACGAGGTGTTTCTCAGAAGTATTTCGAAAAATCACATTTTACGAGTACCATATAATATGGTACCTATCTGGGTAAAATATGTGTAGATGTATTTAATTAATGTTTATTATATAATCTGACTCATACTTTAAAAAAGTAGCAAAGATGATGCTACTTGGAAATAATAAAATATTTTTTTTCATTTTTCTTTCCATGTTTGTTTATTAGTGTCAGTTTTTTCCATATGTTTCAATAACTTTTTTTAAAAATCAAGATATTATATTAACATACGCAATTGTCCGATATTGTCATACTTTTTCATAGCTGCTATAGTAAAATAAATATAAAAATGCTTTTCTGAGGCGCTGGTTTAGAATTTCGAGGAGTTTCGGAGGGGTGCTTCCTCCTCCCCACCCCTTTCTACGCCACTGTCAAAAAGGATATGTGGGTAATATAAGATTAGATAAACGTTAAATACATATACACATATTTAACGTAGATATCATAATATATGGTGCTCGTAAAATGTGATTTTTCGAAACACCTAGACCTAGTAGCTAATGGAAATATAAAGAAAAATATGTAAAAATGTTATGAAACTTATTTGAAGTTGAGTTGATTATTGTCTTGATATAAAATTGACTTATGTAGAATAATAATTCATTAAAATCAGCATTCATGTCCGTTTTTATTACTTTGGCCTTATACTTTTCGAGGAGGCCAGGTAGACCTAGAACTTTAGCGCAATGATAAAAAAAGTCTTATTTTGGTTTCGGCTATAACATATTTAAATTTCAGGAAAATTAGCAGAGGGCCAAATTACACTTAAATGGTGCCATTTTCTATGACAGACTTTTTTTTTGTCAGTTTCTTTGAATGACCTCGTAATTGCGGATTTAGATAGTTAGATGGATAGATACTTTGTACATTAATGTCATAAGTAATGAATTATTTGAAAAAATTGGTAAAAGCCTTTACCCATGACTAACCTCCGCAAATCATCCCGCACAATCCCACCCTTTTTTTGATTAACATCAAAATTTCATTTCCCATCAATCAACGTGAAGCAGATAAACAGAAAGAACTTTAAAATTGTTCTTACTTCTAAAAGGTAGTTTAAAATATACGACAAAATATTTTTGAAAGAAAAGGGTCTCATATCTTGTAGTAAGCTTACAACGAATTTCCAAAATTTAAAATGGACCAAACCGCAAAAATGTCATATTTTGAAGCCTTGAGGACAACAAAACTTGAAACAACATAGTTTTAGAACGTGCTTAACCGAAACTTGGCAGTAGTGAGCTTGTCTCAAAATATGACATTTTTGCGGTTTGATTCATTAAATTTTGAAAATTTGTTGTTATCACCCGGTATCGTATTGAAACAATAATTAGTACATTTGGGTTTTAGACCATTCTAAACACAAATTTTCTATCAGATTTTTCCTAAAAAATCCCTAATAGTTATTATTGAAATTTGAGCCTATAAATGTGAACACCCTGTACACCAGTACAGCCGCAGAAATAAAATTATAAGCCTAATAAGTGTCAAATTCGAGTAGATACCTATAAGACAAAAAAAAAATTGAATCGGTTAAAAATTATAATTTTAGAAGGGTGGTCAGTCCTTAAGCGGTACGCACACTGTAGACCTAGAAGCAAAAGTAGAAAAAAAAAACTAATAATAAATAATAATGTAGGTACCTAATGGTTTATGTATTTTTCAAAGATACCTAGCGCTCAAAATTCATTTTTTAATTGTGGGATAAAAATAACCAAACTTAAGAAGCGCTGATTAAGAAATTATAGGGACCTTAAAAGGTAAAATTGAAAAAATCTAATTGACACGAACGAAAATTGCATTGGCGATGCAAATATATTGCAAAATTAATGAATGAGTATACACAGGCATACGCAGGGATTATTTAGCGACAAAACCAACATCCATAAATTTCCAATATGCCCGCCTCTCATTACCATAATTTGTCTTTTAGTAGAGATTGGCTTATGCATACATTGTCTTTGGTTAGTAGGAATCAGGTTGGAGGAGGTATTCTTCAAGTACAGAACCAGCAGATCGATCGGGTGCAATCATACAGATACCTACAGGTTCGTGCCAGGATTGAACAAGCCAGAGCATCATTTGTAAAAATGAACTCCGTATTGTGTAGTTGAGGCTCTCGCTCTCCGTTCGCACTCAAGTACTACGTTGCTACGTTTTCAGTATTCTCTATTATGGGATTGAGGCGTGGGCTCTGAGGACATATAGACGGATGTTAAAAATATTCTGGACGGACAGAGGGCGCAATGAAATGTGCTAACGAGAATGTCAAAAGATCTTGAAGTTATGTTTACGCTTGAAATGCGAAAGTTAGAATACTTCGGACACATACTCAGGAATGACAAATACCTACTTCTCAAGCTCATAATCGAGGGAAAAATCGAAGGCGGAAGAGGCCCTGGATGTCGAAGAATATCTTAGCTAAAGAATTTGCGTCACTGGTATGGCGAAACCACGACAAGTCTATTCAGAAAAGGAGTCGACAAAGTACAGATAGCGCTGATGATTGCCAACGTTCGTAGAGGATAAGGCACTTGAAGAAGAAGAAGTACCTACACCGTCACCGCATGAATGAAAATATGGATAGGTAGAAAATTTCAGGTTTATATTGTAGGAGGAGGAAGGCCAAAAACGACAAAAGTCAGTCGGATTTTGGGGAGTAAAAACTATTACCGACTAGGGCATTGGAATTGCAAAACAGATGATGATTGACCACCTAAACATCGTAAACATTTGAAGTTTTGGGAACTCAATTTAAAATATATCTTTACTTCTCAAAATTGGACAGTCTGTCAAAAGATAAATAGGTAGTTAAAAACAACTGATATTAAATTTGTCAATTTTTTAAGACGCGTCTAGTTCTAAGTAGGTACAGATCGTTTCACCAGAGTTCATACTTGACCTTGAAACTTGAAAAAAAAAGGGCTGTCCTAGATTAATTCATATGACACATTCAATTTTTTTGACAAATTAAAATGAATGACTTCTGGTTTAAGAACCGACGAACGTTTTTTACGTCATAGATTTGTTTCAGTCAATTTTCATTTGTTTAAAAGGAAGGCAAATTATGTCAAAAGAATGAACCTTGGTGAAACAAAGTTTGCAAATTAATTTTAGAAAAAAATAAAATAAAACTTGTACTCAAATAATTTTATTCTTAACAAAATGATTCTTCAATAAGAATAAGAAAACCTTCGAACATCTTTTATATTATTGGAATATGAAACTTAACTAAGTAGGTACTAAGGTAATTCCTAAAACAAATGGAAAAAAAACGAGAATTCCTTTTATTAAGCACATAGAAAATATACAATTAAAGATAGTTTATTAGTTAGTAATGGAAAATAAATAATATCCCCATAATGAGTTGATAAGTTCCTCTCTTAAAGCTTAAATTTAACCAAAAATACGTTCCCTACTTAATGTCCTTTTTTCCAAAAACTTTTATAAAGTCCTATATTTTACCCATCAGCTGCTCGATAGGGTGGAGTATTGTATGCATATCTGGTCCTATCGACTTTAGAATAAATCCTTCTTTCGGGATTTTTCTTAACTTCCCTTACATTCACATCGGTCAATACTTTGACTGGATAAGGACTTTTACCTTCATCTTCATATCGTAACTTGGGATAAGTTTTCCTAAATCTATACGGGTCACTTAAGTATCTGTCATCGTACCTGTCACGATCGTATCTGTAGCGGTCCCTCAAATCTAGATTTGGGGGACTTCGGGATATTTCGGGCAGGGTGGCGTAATAAATTATACGTTTTTGGGGCTTTTGTCCTGAAAAACTGTAATCGTTTCTGGTTCTCTCATAATTTTCATATCGTGGACGATAAACATCTCCTCTGTAATTATGTAAATCATATCTAGGATACAAGTCGTCTCTAAAATAAGATACTATTTTGAAAAACTTTTTTTCAAATTTTGTTACTTTAAATTTTTACCTAAAAATCGGTGGGATGCTTCTAGGTTGACTAAACGACCTAAATATTCTTTCATTGTATGGATTTTGTCTTTCAATATCCCTTTCAAATTCCTTCGTCAACTCCCTTGGAGGCTCGTCTAACTGCCTAGATCGAGGTTCTCTGTCATAAGATCTATCACTTCTATCAGATGGAGCAAGTCTATTATCAGCGAATTTTTGAGTGACAAAATGTACCCGGGGTGTTCTCGCATTTTCACTTGATAAAGGAAAACTGTCATCGAATGTAAGTTCATCACTTTTCCTTACAGGATACACTTGTTTTGCCCAATGTTCTTTAATGGCACCACGAGCTTCCCTATTTGAATCCTCACTTGGAATTTCCATGAATAGTTTCTCGGATAGCGGATTAGATTTTTGAGGTTCACTAAAAAATATTCGATATCAGGAAAATCATGTGCGCCTAACCAGAACTGAGCCGCGGAAAGTATGCGAACTAATATGTCCATCACTTTCCATTGCATTTAATTTGAACGTGTATTTTCATATAGTTTTACCTCGCCTCAGACGAAAATGCTCATTTCTCAGTAAAAACACTCCAGTTTTCTAATAAAATATGTACTCACTTTGTTAAATCTCTAGATTTGATTTCAGAATTATCGTTAGTGGATCTTCGAAATCTAATAAAATCATTAATACCAACATCATCTAAGTCCTTATTTTCCTCGGACGTCATTCTATTCTCAGCCTTATCTTCTTTTTCAGTTAAATTCCTAGTATCCAACGCAGTAATTTCCAATGGCTTTCCCAGACTTTTTACGAGTGCAATCAGTGAAGAGCTTTTTTTAGATGACCCTAAGCTTGAAGGAGTATTTCGTTTATTCCTCTCTCTGAGGTGGAATGAATGTCTTGGATTGTTTTGATGGAAGTCGAAATTTCTGGACTCATCTAAATCGTCGAATGATTTCATAGACCTATATATAATAAATTATAATTGTAACATTTTTCAAAGTTTTCGTAGCATGATAAATTATTGCCTGAAAAATTGTTTTTCTGAATCCTCATCTAAAGAAAACGATCGCCCGTGCCGCACAGGTAATAATTCTAAATCCATTTCATTTTCTTGATGATCGCCATGATCGTAACTCTCTATGGGAATGTCATCTATATAACCATAATCTTGAGGCTGGCATATTTGGATTAACGAAGTTACGACCAGTATGATACATTGCGTCTTCATGGTAATATGCTGAAAATTGAAATTTTGATTGGTAAACTTGGAAGCTGATAATTTGTTTTACTTATGGTATATGGCTATGATTTAATTAAAAAACTGAAAAAGCTAAATTTTGCAGTTGTTGTTTGAGGTCACTATTATCTTTCCTGGCTCGATTTTAGAAATAGCTTAGCTTTATTCTTACATACAAAGGACGCAGTATACTTATAGAAAGAACAATAGAAAAGCGACACTGCATTCCAAAAATGCGTCTATATCACCATTGTATTATCACCCTTCCACTGACTTTAGTCGACTCTCCGTATAACAGAAACTTTTCGAAATTTTGTATCCTTCCACTAAGTAAAATATTTTAAAAAAAAAATACTATTACTGTCGACGTTTTGACTGACAGCACCTTGATAAGAGCAACCTTTAACTGTCTGTGAGCACAGCACAAAATCACATTGAAAAAGTTAACTTTCTAGTGCTTTTGTAACTGCCAATACTTTCTTGTCTTCCTTGTTTTGTTTTTATAGTCGAGATATAAAGACTGAATTTGTAGTTACTTGCTTTTTTTGACAAAAAAAAAACAGATTTCATTAATTGGATTATGATTTTAAAAAAATCGGTCCTAAATACTTTTTAACTTTTGACAATCTTTTAGTATTATTGAAGGTCAATTTGCTAACAATAACGAATAATTAGATAAATCGTGTAATTTTAAAACATTTTGTCACGGTTTTTTGTCCGAAGGTTATGCGTCGGCGGTTCGGTATATTTAAAGCTCAGCAAAAATGCAATTCAATGACCTAAAACACAGACAAAAATACAGGAAATAAGTATGATTTTCACTGCAATATATATGTACATACTTTTTATAAAGCGAATACCAATGTTACAGGTTAGTTTTTATTGAAATGACGGAAATAGGGCTTTTTGAATGTACAGTGTGGTCCAAATGTAGGTATGAGGATTTTGAAAACTGTAGTTGATACAGTCACAGTGGTAAGAAGACAGTTAAGGGCAACTGTTGTGAGAATAAACCGATTTCTGCACTTTTATACACATTTCTCTTTTAGATTTCGAATTATGAAGTGAAAAAATTAACAAGTTACGTTTCGGCTCGAAGAGCGAAAAAAATGTACTTCTAGATAAATATCAGTATCAGTGTTTTTCGAAGTCGCTAACAAAAATTAAATTCAATCCAGTTTCATGGCGTTACAAGTACCCGTAATATTAGAGCACAAAGACCGGCAATTTTGGTTGACGATTCGGTTATGAGCTAACTGGGGCCTTCATTCAAATAATTAAAGACCGAACTCCTAAAAATAAGAGCAGCCTTGAAGTAGGCATGAAGGGGGTAAAAAATGTCTATACTCATTAAAAAATCAGGCTCGACTTAACGCAGATTAATCTAATAAATATGCAGTACCTGATAGAAGAGATGAGTATCTAGGAGTATAGTCCAGTCATTAGAGAGATACTTGCAAAAGGTGGACATTGGCCAGTATGATTAAAAAGAGTATTTGCTTGTACTTCAAGTAAGAGCTTTTACTTCCTAGTAATTTGTGGAGTATAATCTTTTACATGAAGTAAATTCTTTTATGGAAAGTGTTTACCCAGGTTGTTAAGTATAAATTAGTAGTTAATACTGGAACGTGTTTAACCTCAAATAGGTTCTTTTTGTTTCTTATGTGGGTATAATCTATCGTTCCTATTTTCCAAGTATCGTCCATCCATCTTTAGCTAATTCAACGTCGTGGGCATTTTGAGGAAAAGAAATCTAAACATTTTTATTCCACGCAATTTTTTGTGAAACTTCTTCAATTACTTTTAACACGGTTGTTTGATGTACCCGACATCTACATCAACTTCTTGTTCAAATCCAGGATCACTTAGGATCGGTATTGTAATGTCGGGTTGACCGATGGTTGAGTTTCTGCCGAGGTTTCAACCTTCGGTCAACTGGACTTATAATACCAATCCTTAGAGTCCCTAAAAATATCTCCATCACATATTTCCTTCCTTTTCTTATCATTATAATTATTAAAAAAGTCATTTATAACGCCTTTTGAATCGAAGCAATTGATGTGAAGTTACTGTTGAGTAGCTTCTCAAAAACTACACCGAATACTTCCAAATGAAGGAAATACTAGAAATCATTAGTAACTTCTGCAGCATAAACTTCTATACCTATATTGAAGTAAATAGAGCAAAGTATATTGCTTCTAGTACTTACTTTAAGAATAATGTGGAGTATATGCTATAATTTTTTGAAGTGAAAACTACAAAATGGAGCATTTACTTGAAGTAAAAGCAAATACTATTTTCAATCATACCGCCCATCATGTTGCTCAGATTGAAGCCAGAAGAAAAAAATGAGTTTATGACTTTGGGGGGGATGCGGCTTCCTCCAAAAATGAACGGTCAACTTCAGAAAAAAAGTGTTTAAACCAAAAATAGAGAAAATTGGATTAAAGTAAAATATTTTATTTTTTTTTCAATTCGCATGCTTACTAGGTATATTTGTTCTGTTTTTTAGATAATTACGATTGAAAAACGATGAAATTTACTTAATATTATTTATGTTTATATGGCGTATATAATATATTACTAAATACATATATATCAATTAGTAGGTACTTACTATATAATATTTTATGGCAATTTTTATTTTTGGCAGGTATATTGTGATTTATTGTGACCAAACATCAAAATACTGATTTTCACACCAAGGGGTAGAGTAAATGGCGCGTTTTTTTTTATTGTGGTATCTCCAGTAGACCTTATTCACATATTATCTCTCTCTTCTTCTTCATCAACCTATATTTATCCACTCCTTTATGTAGGTCTCTTCTAATTGTTTCCGTCGTTCTCTATCCTTCGCTAATCTCATCCAAAGTTTGCCTGCCACTGTCTTTATGTCGTCCACCCATCTTTTTTGGGATCTTCCCATGCTTGTTGTCTCCCTTGGTCTCCATTCCAGGATTCTTCATGTCCATCTGTCGTTATCGTATCTGGCTATGTGGCGAGCCCATCGCCATTGCATCTTTGCTACCTCCACCACAATGTCCTTGACTTTCGTTTTGCGTCTTATCTCGGTGTTTCTAAATTTGTCTCGTAGTGATATTCCAAGCATGTTTTTTTTCCATCGCTCTTTGAAAGGTTTCGAATTTATCAGCGGACTTTTTGGTGAGGGACGGGCATGGTCTCTAATCCGTAGGTATACACCGGTAATATGCAAGTGTCGTATAATGTTCTTTTTAGGTTTATGGGAATGGATTTATTTTTCCAGATGCATGTTAGTTTGCCGAAAAGGGCCCATGTTAGTTGTGTCCTTCTTTTTATTTCAACAATCTGGTTTGATGTTTGATCCCAAGTATATATGTATAACGTTTTCGATCCTCTGGTTCTGTATTGTTATATTTTTCTGTTCCTGACTCATAATAGCCATTTCACAATTATAATCTACCTAAAGCAGGCCAACTTTTGGACATCCATAAACTCCAGTACAACCTTTCTTGCAGTTTCATGAGATGACTCTCAATAACGTGTCCGGTGCCGGTTTCTGGGTCATATTTTGTCGTAGGCAAGAGTCACTTTTGTTTTGACGGAAGATTTAATAAAGCGCTGGTATCTTACTTCTTCTAAATTATCTGAGGAACTATTTCCACCGTACAAAACCACCAAAAACCTTTCGCCAGCCTCTGCAACTTCAGCTTCTTTGGCATCTGGGTTAGTAAATTTTTTTATATCTACATAAAGATTTGGGTTTTTCTGTAGAAGTCGTAAAAATTTTGTTTTTCTCTGACTGAAAATCGCAGTCGCATCCACTAAATACGTGAAGAAAGAATATGTTCTGAGAGATCCTTGTGTTTCAAGCGGTTTGATGAATACAATTTTTCAGGAGTCTTGCCTTTTCCTGGTTTGTTCTACGATGGAGCCAATGCCGACAGTTATCCAGTATTTTACTACCGGCGTTCCGCTAGGAAATGAGTATTAAGCGCTTTATAAATAAATAAGTTTCCAGGACAAAATACACAAATGGCTTTGTTATATTTTGGTATGTAATAGGGTGATACGTTAAAAACTTATACCATGGCTATATCTGAAGAACCAAAAAAATACATGAAAACTCGCTGAAAACAATTTCTATAATTGGGAGGGGGAACCAAAAAACTAACCTGTTTTCACTTATTCCCTCACTTGAACCAGATGAGGTATCACATGTAGGGGGTTGCTATTCACGATTATCTAGTAGGGGTGGCTGGGGGTAAGGGGGTAAGTGAAAACAGTTTATTACATAATTTTGGTTCCCCCTCCCTATTATAGAAATTGTTTTCAGCGATTTTTAATTTTTTTTTGGTTCCTCAGTAGATTAATTACATATTATCATACGTGTAAATAAATACAAATTTGTATGATATAATGAAAATATATGGTAACTAGTAACTTAATGACATTTTCGTACTCATGAATAACAATTGAATATCGAGAAACTTTCACTGTTGTTCTTTTACCCTGGTATTTTTACCTATAGCTCATTATAGATAACAGCTACAAAAAAAAGTTTCATATGAAAATTATAGAAAATTCAATTTTCTCTATTTTTAGATCATACAATTTTTTCCTAAACTTGACCGTTAACGAGTTATGTAAGAAAAACTATTTTTGTGCACACTAAATCCAAGTTCGAAAACTCAAATTTTTGTTTAGGGCTTCAATATGATCAACATATGTCAAAATCGCGACTACCCCACCTTTTGCAAGCTGCGAGTCTATTTTTCGTTCTAATAACTGGCCTAATAAGGGTAGAATTTTATAAAAAAAAACTTGCGTCGTGTAGTTCGCATCTTGAGTGATAAGGAAACTTACGGCATTCCAGCAAAATATATTAACGAACTATAAGTGCCTATTATAGGCTAGCAACTGTGAAAAGTGCGTTTCATCCCCAGGTGAAGGGGGAGGAAAAAACGATATGGAAATACACAGTTGCAATAGAATATAGCGATATAGAAATATTAGTTCGC